AGAGAGAACAACTATTTTTCTTTGGGGCATCATATGGTGTTTACTGTTTTTAACGCATTATCAAATAATCATACCGGAGTTACGGTTCATTGTGTGTATGGAATTAGACGAAACTTTATTTGATGAAATACATTTCATCCATAAATACAAAACAAATCATTCCAATATCATACAAAAAGTGGTTGTTGATCGATGCCAAAAAAAGGAGAACCGTCAATAATATAAATACGAAATACAGAATATGAACGTTATTAAAATTGCGAAATCCAATCATAAATGCAAAAATAGTTTGTCAAAGTCCGGGTGCTCTCTGTGCTCGTCATTTCACAAAATAGGAAAATTTAATCGCGACCATTTGTGTAATTGCAATTCGAATAAAGCTTCGTCGTATCTTTAATTAAGCCCAGTTATTTACTATTTTTATTCAGAGGTCTTTTCTCGACTCATCGAAACAAAAACCTTCTGTGATTTTCAACGAAATGCAGTTATCGTTCTTAGCAACACTAAACAAAGGAAACTAAGATGTCGAACTACTTAACATATTAAAATGTCTTGTAAATAGTTTTATATATATATGTTAACAGTAGCTTCATGTTGTGGTAATTACGATTTGCAGTTTTGGTTCGCTATCAAATTCATACTAACAAATATAACGTGATTCCTTTCTTTGCCGTTGTAAACGGAGTCGGTCTGGCATTGCGCGAATAAGTTTAAAAGGATTTTTAGTTTTCCGTTCATTAAAGGTACGTAAATACTATATAATAATATATTATGTGAATACGAATGTGACGTAATCATCCGCTTGTGGAAGATAAAAGTTTTTAATAAAAAAGAACTGACTTCAAAAAACTATTACCAATGGAAAATTTGATATGATACTAAATTTTTATAATCATTCATGTCTTACAACTATTACCCATGGTGAACAATTGCACCGACTGCAAAAAAGGTTAATTTTTGGAGTCCGTGCTATTGTTCACCAGGATTGGAGGTTAGGTTAGGTTGGGTTAGGTTATATAGGTTAAATTTTCAAGATTTGATTACATGTATTGGATTTAGTATTATTTTAACATTTTTGGTGCTAATTGAATTTTTTTAAACAATAGAGTTTTTTCACATATTTCTTATGCGATAGCAGCAATTCCGGTTGAATTGCTGTCATTTTTTGTGAAGAATCTTCTCAAAAATCTATCCTATCTATCTCTCCGAAATTCATCAATCAATTATCGTGAAATAATTTAATGAGACCATTTCGGAATGAAACCCTTTCGAAGAAAAAAAAGAATTCTTCAAATCCGTCTACATATGACGGAATTGTGTCCGAACACACATAAAATAAATATAAACATCCGAATTGAGAACCTACTTCTTTTTGAAGTAGTTTTAATGCGAAAAGGTGACAGGCGATAAAATGGTTCACCTGATATTTAGCGATTGCCGCCGACCGTAATGTGGCAGGGCCACCGTATGCTGAACGAATGAGCAGAAGACGCACGTAAAGTGGAACTACAATACTATCTCGTTTCGTCTGGTATGTGAGGTTACCGACGCCTGCTTATTTTAAAGGTTGTCAACGTATCTGAAAGCCCTGGGGTGTTGTCGGATCAACCGCCCGCTCGCTTAACAACTTTTAACATAAAAGCAAAAACGAACTCGCACACGAGGGCTTCCGTACCATTATCCATAAAAAAGGGGGGAAAAATCATGTCCGCTATATGGGAGCCCCACTTAATTTTTTTCTATTCTGTTTTTTAGTATTTGTTGTTACAGCGGCAGCAGATATATATCATCTATGAAAATGACTCGACTGTCTAACTATCATGGGTCATGAGATACAGCCTGGAGACTGACGGACAGACAGACAGACAGCGGAGTCTTAGTAACAGGGTTCCGTTTTACCCTTTGGGTAACCGTACTCACTGGATAGGAGGCAATTGTCACTACATAGTATAAAACAAAGTCTTCCCGCTGTCTGTCTGTCCCTATGTATGCTTAGATCTTTAAAACTACGCAACGGATCTTAATGCGTTTTTTTTTACCAGATAGAGTGATTCAAGAGGAAGGTTTATATGTATAATACGTTGCACCCGTACGAAGCCGGGGCGGGTCGCTAGTATAAAGTATATTCCAGTCGACTCGGATCATATGCACAGGTTCCAAACGAAACATTAAAGAACCCGTGTAAAACGATATTTAAATGACGGGCCGGTCTGTTAAAGACTATTGCACTCTCCACTCCACATTTTAATTTGCCGGAAGAGAGTTTCTACTCTTTCGAAAAAGGGGTGTTCATTTTTAATTGGGAGTCAATTTTACTATTCTCGTTCCAAAGCAGCGAGGGATTATGCAATAATGAAACCGGCCAAGTGCCAGTATGATTCGCGCACGGAGGGTTCCGTATCATTATCAATAAAAACAGTAAAAAAAATCATGTCTATTGTATGGCCGCCCCACTAAAATATGATTTTTATTCTGTTTTTTAGTATTTGTTGTTCTTAAAGGGGGCCCCGTAAGGTATATTCTCTTAAACTATGCATTTTTTTATATTTTAGAGAAATATAACTCAACAAAAATGTTTATATAGTAAATGAGGATGTTGTTAGCAACTTTTTGGCTACCCCGAGCAGTGATAGGTAAAATTATAATAAATAGAAATAGTTTTAAATATAAGATTAAGCCTGTTATTAAGTTCCCGAAACTTAAAATTCTAAGTATGTTTTAAATATTTATGGGGCTCGAAAGATTTATTTCGGAAGCAAAAAATAAATATTTTGGTTATCGATGAATGATTAAAAAAAGGTAAAATTGTAAATTAAAACTAGAAAACTATTTGTAGACTTCTAAAAGTGGACTAAGAAGCTTTTGAAAACCTACTTTGTGTATTATTACAGTACTTGTATTAAAACACCCTGGCCTAATACCCTAATTTCAGGGGAACCTTTGTTCAGCAGTGAGATATATGGGGTTGTTGTTTCACTTTGCTTCAAGTGGTCCCGAAGAAATTGATTGATTGGAATTGATCAGACTATGTATGTATTGTATCTTCTTAGTGTCCGAACTGGGGACAAGGGGTGGAATTTCCTACCGTTTTAAACAGACTATGCTAACGATGTCCTATTTCTAACAAATCGTATTCCATTGCTAAATTTAGATTCTCAAGCATCAATCTTCATATCATCATTGTATAATAAAGATCTGTTGTATTTATATAACTATTTAGAGGTTTCGAAATTATTATTTTTACCAGCTTTTCACTCGCGGCTCCGCCCGCTCCGCATGTACTACAGGTACTTGGCCGATTTTCTTAATTTTATATAAACTTACAAGCATCATCATTTTACAGACCATAATATATATTAAACTATACTTTCATCCAATTCAACTGTAGCTATTATACAGCATTTTATAGCACAAATTTCCAATGTGGTTCTTAATGCTGATATAACTTTTTTCTTTATGAACCGATTTAAATAAAAAGAATACTAAATGTTTAAGCGAGGCACACGTACTGTTGCACCCAAATCGGTTAAACCGTTTCTGAGGTGGATCTGAACGCACAAACAAAAATTTTAACAATCATTGTTTTGGGTTCTACTGCGTTGATAAAGGCCCCCAATAATAGTTTTTCTCGAATATCTTCATATATATTATTATTATCATGTATAGAATAGATTGTATTAAACTATATCAAATTATATTTAATATTTGAACATAATTCTTAAGTAATTTCAAATAATAAAGGATTATATTTTGAACAGTTCCTTTAATTATCTTTGTAAGATTGTATATGTCGCGCGTTTCATTTTAAAGTTAAGTTGCTTGTGAAAATTAGTTTCATGAATGAAATATTTAAACAATTATTTTTAGATTTGTTTAGATTCCAGTTAATATAAGTATATTATTTATGATATTGACTTTGACGGTACATTAAATTCCTAAGGTATTCATGGCAGAGCGGGCTTGCGTCTTGAGTTCAAAATTGGGTTCGAATCTCTTTGATATTCACCAATATCAGTTCGAATACTTTTTACGTGCAAAACTCACTGTATTAAAAACTCACAATCGTAATCGGTATTAAATATACTAAGATAAACGTGGCGATTGTTGTCTCTACACCGAAACGCTATGTGTTCGAGATGAATACAAAAAAATCCGAAACAAAAAGAATGGTAGGTACATTAGATATTTGGCCAAAGATTTTGACAACGGAATTCACCGGGGTACATTTAGAGATGTGAGGCCGGGGCTTGAGCAACAAGTGGAATCCCTAATAATTTTGCCGGCGGCGGCGGCCCGCTAAATCGGCGAAACTCTTGGCGACCGATGCCGGAGCAAAGCGACGGGAAAGCTAAACCGGGGGAAGCCCCTATCAAGTGCCGTCGGCCGCGACGGCAATTTCACGACCATAACCGTCAAGGATTTTAGCCGCTGGTAAAGACAAGCGGTGACACACAACTCGTCGATTAGCCATAATAACAATTACGGCACACTTTAATCGATAGAGATTACTTTCGCTTATCGATAGGACGTATGCGCCGCGGCCGTATCGCACGTCGAAGTCTCGCGCTGTGTTCACGCATCGCAATTATTAGGGCACTGTGCAAGGGCCGCCTATCATTCACTTTCGCGTTGCAGGTTAATTGAAATCGCGCCGTAAAAGAAACTAATACCGGAACGGGCAAATGTATCTGTAAACGCAATCAAACAGACGCCGCGCCGATGCAAGATTATTAAAAAGTCAAATTATAAATGAGTATCGATGAACGCTTAGATTATAAATAAATAATAGATTTGATAATTAAAAAAATCCACGCACAGACAAAGGGATAGAAGCGAATACGGATGGACGATGCTTTCTGCGCGGCCGTCGGCGAGAAAATCGCCGTTAATCGGTAAACGAAGACAAATAAAAAAGAAAACCGTCAATTGTTTTCGACAACTGCGCTCAGCTTTTGTTAAAAAAAAAAAAAAAAAAAAAAAAAAAATGGCGTCGCACTCACGAAAGAAAAGCTGCTGGAGAGCATTGCGAGAAACATGAATCGGCCTCCGTTCGCCATGGTGGCTGCTCGGGTTCGAAGCTGGGTGCGGGCTACGCGGCGGTGCGGGCTACGCGGCGGTGCGGCGGCCGTGGGCGGCTGAGGGCGGCTGTGGGCGGCGCGACTTTGCTCTGGAGCGGTGCTCGAGCTAGATGCGGCGGCGACGGCGGCTGGCGGACTTCTGCGCTGCCCCGGCGGCGCGCCGCCACGGCAGCCCAGCGCGCGGCGGTGCGGCGTGTATGTGTGCGTGCCTCGGAGGCGTTGCTCTGATGTTGAGCCGCGATGGCGGATCGTGCACAGGTGTGTGTGTATGCATATACTTCGCTGACCACCGCAGTAACGTAAAATAAATGTTGCAAAAAATAGTTGTGTCGGATACGCAGTGAGCCGCACTTATCGTTGCAGAGTGATCTATTCCGAAAGTATTTAGCGTTGGACAACGGTAGTTGTTGCGAACGCAGCGCGCGACGGTGCGGCGTGTGCGTGTGTGCGTGCGTCGGAGGCGGTCCTTCGATGTTTTCGCCGCGATGGCCGACCGTGCACAGGTGTGTGTGTGTATGCATATACCCCGTTGACAACCACAGTAACGGAAAATAAATTTTACTAAGGGAAATAATTATGTCGGAGACAGTGAGCCGCTCTTATCGTTTCAGAGTTCTTCCGAAAGTATATAGTATTGGATAACGGTAGGTGCCAATGAATTTTCCGTGGTAGACCCGTCCGGATAACCGCGACCTTTTTTTATCTATTAGAAAGTGGCAAACTAGTTGACGCTTCATCCGGTGTTAAGTGAGAACCGCCTGCCCATGGATATTTGCAACACCGGCGGGGTTGCAGGTGCGTTGCCACCTCTTAAAAAAGTGGCCCCGGCTGCCTCCCTCACCGGACGAAACGCAGAAGTGCACACCGGTATTCTGTGAGGTCGTGGTACTAACGCGGACGGACATGCCCATCCGTGCAACAGCGAACACTGTTTGTTGCGTGGCCATACCGCCTCCTAAAAACCTCACCACCTACAGAAGACCGGCGTGGAGGCAGAAGTGTTACTTCTGCGTTTCGCCCTGTGAGTGAATTGGACGGTGCCCGCTTAATTGTGAGTGATTTTAATCAAATTTTTTGTGTGTCTTTTAGGTCTACAAGGTTTTTTACTTGTCGAATTTAAGTCGTGTGTACCGGACAACGTCTGTCCGGTCCGCTAGCTTAAATATATGTTTCTGTTGCCGCTATATCAAGAAATACTAAAAATCTGAATAAAAAAATCAGATCAGACAGACATTTTTTTGCCGTTTTCATAAATAATGGTACGAACCCTTTGTGCGCTAGTCCGACTCGCATTTGGCCGGATTTTGATTATAGTTATCACACACAATTACAGCAAATAACATTTCAAACTTATAATTATGTATTAATTTGATCCGCCTTACCAATATTTCACGTATACATCGTTCCAATTTCTTCGTTCGTTCATCTTTCACATCCAAAAAAAAAAATTTATTCGTTTTTAACGAAATCAAGGTCTGACGATATTTCAAACTACGTAAGGATACTTTTTTTACAAGTTTCTCTCTCCGTTAAAATTATTTTAATGATTTTATCTATTTCAGTTTCATTTTAATTTCCCAACAAGAATGGGCAGCCCATTTGTGCTTAATGAGAATATAATAAATTAGATTTTACCCGTAATATTAACAAATTGACAAGCATTTAACATCTTTTAACGTTCACGATAATAGCAGAAGTAATTAAACTGACCTCTACAGCGTAAAAACAACGATTTTAGCGGTGAAACCAAATTGTGCGCACTTTGTAATTTAAACGTGTACTAAGCTCACGGATTACTCGTACCTACGTGTTACTAGAATAAGTATTTTGCATGGAGGGGGTGTCTTGAGATTTACATAAAATGGGCGTATTGATACACTATTCGACATTCATTATCAATACATTGCCTTATTTATGATTCACAATATTGCAAGAGTTGTCATTTTTAAAATCTATTAAACTTTAAGAAAAATAAGAATAAGATTATAATGAAATTATTGATACAGATAATTGCAATACCTACACTTTGATTCATACAAAATAACGTAATATTTCTTATATTAAAATTTTCAGTAAAAGTATAAAGCGGTGCGGCGGTGCGGCGGCTGTGGGCGGAAACGCACAAGTTTAACACTTTTTTTAGTTTGTGATACTTTACCGGACGGACCTGCGGTGGTAAGCGCAGCAAACTGCCAACCCGACACAAACGCAAGAGTTAATAAGCGTCGAACGCGAAACGACCTCATCGACCAGGTCGAGGACCGAGGGCCGTCGGACCCACCGTCGGGGATCCCGTCAAATAACGCTACACACACAGTTAGTGCTACCGCAAACACCATAGTTCGTCCTCGTCTACTAGCACGGCGAAGTCGACACAACGCGTACACTAGGTACACCCGCGGTACCGGGTGGTTCTCACCGCTCCCAGCCACCGATTAATCAAGTACAGTCAACGACATCGGGTCCGTACCGAACCTCGATGGACCGTAGGCGACACTCCTTAATTAACGAACGCTTGTCCACATGTGCACAAGCGCGGTCCGGTAGGGCCAAAAGGCCCTACATAGTGGGTACACTGTGTAGGGCCTTTTTTAATCCGCGTGGTTCTGCGTTTGCTGAAGCTGTAATAGTCTACGGACTAAAAGCGCTAACAGCAAAAAAACAAAATCCTGTGACAATGGCTAGTGTGAAGCGGTCGTAACATTATATGTGTATTAAAAACTATGTCAGATATGTATACCTAAAATATCCAATGGTTTCGTGTAAAAGAGTATTACATCCAACAGATAATTCGTATTTTCAAGCCGAGTATCAATATATTTTTAACATATTTTTAACTGGGCGCATTCGTAATACGCTCGAATTCGTCAATAATTAAAACCGATTTGCAGGAAGTTTATTAATGTTTCGGCTTCATTATTAAAAATACGAGTAGTTCGTAAACGGGCACATTATTGAATCCGCCCGTCTACGAACTACTCGTATATTAAATTTTGCTTTATTATTTCAATATATTGGATACACACTGCGCCGTACTCTCAATCATTGGCAATCACTAATGAAAAATGTAGTAGTACCTAATTACGCAATCCATCAGGTCTTTTAATGAAACGAATTTAACTTTCTTTTAATTAATAATCGCTTTTACTTTTTAAGGGAAAAAATCAAGGCTTCTCTGAACATTTTACGGAGACATTAACATCCATGGCCGTAACCTCTATTACGGCTATGGATACACGATTGCTAAACGTTTAGTTAACTGTGCCACGCGACAATCTTCGCTGTTGCACGACTTGGCAAGCTTCTATGAGGATGGTGAACTACCAGGACATCGCAGAAGACAGGTGAAGTAAAGGAGTTAAAGTAAAGGAACACTTTCTCATTTTGTCTGACGAGTAAGGCAGCTGAGGTATCCTTCTACAATGGTTAGTATATGTACCAAATAAATATTTCTTTCTTCTTTCTTTCGTCCTTCCTTCTTTTGTTGGCAGAAGGTGGCAAGCGAGCTAGCGGCTCACCGGATATTAAATTATAGTCGCCGTCTATTGATTTTTTTGTTATGTTATGTATTGTATGTTGTTGGCTTTTTACATGCATGTAATACGTAAAACACTTTTAGCATATGAGGTGCGGCTAACTCGTTTTTTGTACCTTACGCTTTTGCTGTGTTATTTGTTTATTTAAAATACTATGCACAAAAATATCTTTGTGCAATGGCGGACTTAATGCCAAAGGCGTTTTCTTCCAGTCAACCTCATCAGTTCTAAACCTCAGGTCATACAGAGAAGTTGAGATGGATGAACAAATGATATAGATTAATAAATAACAAGAGAGCCGAATACATAATATAAATTAGAGACTACATCTTTATAATTATAGAATCGGTTTTAATGAAATTTTGTGTGTGTCTTCTGGTCGATCCGAGAATGGTTTAGAGTCACATTTTTTTTAAAAAGCTATTTTAGTCGTGTGCATAAGACAACGTTTGACCGGTCCGCTAGTGTATTATAACTTACTATGCGGGATAACTGAACGCATAACTACACTAACATAATATATAGTATACACAAAAAGACAAAATCACGTAAAAATGTGTGTATGTGTGTGCGAATGTATGTATGTATATAAACATTCACACATAATTACACACTCATATTTTATATGAGCATTATTATTATTGTTAGCACACAATTAAGAGGACCGTTTTATTCGGTATTTCATATTACAACTGAATATAATACACGAGACTAGGGCTCGAACCGCAATCAGTTAGATCAATGCACACGACAAAACAATTGAATCCACTACTCCATCAAATGCTTCGTAGAAATATAATATAAATAATAGGCAAGAAAACAAGCTTGTTAAAAGGAAAACATGTATCGATGTGCGACAAGCAAATGAGCGCACTTCCTTCCGGTGTCTGTGCTCTTATTATGTCTTCATTAGTGAAACACATCCGGTGCCGACTGCGTAGAGGCCCGCCCACGTACTTTAATAATTATATTTATCATTCTATATGATATGAGCCGTGTTAGCTCAGTGTCCGCGTGCTCGCCCTTTAATTCTGTTTACTCGAACAACCTGAGTTCGATCCCCGGTGCCAGCACCAATGAAATTGTTAACTTTAAGCGCTGCATTATACGTGCTCGGCGGTGAAGGAAAACATCGTGAGAAAACCTGCATATTTTCTAAATAACGAAAAACTATATTTCGAAAATATCTGTGCAAAGAATTTCAGACACCTTTACGTATAAAACTGTAACGAAGTTCATTTGTAAAGGTCACAACGCATATGAATATTTTTTTTGAAATTATGGATTTTGTTTAACGTTAATATTTTTTTATGTATATTGGCAAGTAGTGTTAGACGTGTATTCATTTATTGTCACGGTTGTAACGACACGCTGTATATCACAAAATGAAGAGATAAATAGTCACACGACAAAAACTCCTTTTCATTTTTAATTAAATGACGCCATTGCTCTCTGCGCCCAGACTTGCACTCTCTTAATTTTGCGAGACACACGCGAATTTTGTTATAAATAATTGACGTAAAGACGGTTCCTCTTTGGCATGAACGGTTCCTGATTAGAAGCAAAACGACTAAAATTCTCCAGAAAACCTGTATAAACTCTATATTAACTATACAATAGAATACACAATACAATACAATACAATACAATATATATATATATATATATATATATATATATTATTTATCTATTTTATGTGTTTAATAATTGTTATCGTAATGTATGGATACATATTATATAATACCCTATATAGCTAGCACCTGCACTTCTCTCTCAGGAACTTACCTGTTGGCTGGTAGAAAATGCCTTAAGGCACAATGCTTACGTTCACTGGCTTTAAGCCAGTTGTACGTAAGCCGTTTGTACCCGTTAGTACAGTAAAGTGTGCAAATAAATCAATAAATAAATAAATATAGTGCAGCTAAAGCCAACACTGTGTTGCCGTGAAATAAGGTTATCATGTATACCACAGGGGATTTACATGC